TTGTCATTTTATACCACAAATATTAGATAAAGGGAAAAAAAATGATTATATTATGAAGATCTTAATTAGAAATATAGTAAAAGAATATTTTATAAATATAGGTAATATCTAAGAAAGTAATAAAATCAGTAAGTGCTAGTATTATTTTTTATAAAATATATTTTTACTTACTTTTTAGAACCATAAATAAGACAGTTGATACTCAAAAATGACCAGTTGTGAACTTAGATCAATATCAGATCTTGTGGCACAAAATCGTGTCTTTATAGCAAATCCGAAATTTTTTGGTTGATGGAAGAGTATGATTTGAGAGAAAACTATAGAATGGTTTTTTTGAAGTTGTGAGCTAAAATAAACCTCCACTAATTGGAAGTTTATTCTAACTCACAATAAGTGAATTGACTATATAAATTTAAAAATAAAGATATTATTTAAATTCTAATCCACTTATTACTTATTCTTCTTAAAACACCAAGTTATTAATCAAATCCTCTAATATTACTCAAATTCACAATGATAATTCACTCCTTAATTTCATGCAAAACAATTCTTTCTTCTACTTCTAATTAGATAACTTGGCTAAATTTTTATTTTATTTTATTTTATTATTATTATTATTATTTATTAGTTATTTTTATTACTCTTTATTTTTTTATTATTTTATCATTTTTTAAAATATATAAATTTTTACTTCTTAAATAATTGATGGTAAAAGTAATTAATTAAGTTATTATCATAAATCCATAGTAACTATGAATTTTTTAAAGATTGGGTTAAAAATTAAAAGTTAAAAGTAAAGTTTTAAAATTTAAAGTAAAGGAAAAAGTAAAAAGATAGTAAAGATCAAAAAATAAAAAAATAAAAGTAAAATAGAGAAGATTAAAAGTTAAAAATAAAAGCCAAAAGTGAAATGTAGAAGTTATAAGTTATTTTAAATAAAAATAAAAATATAAAAAAATGAAAGAAAAAATAAAATAAAGAGAGGTACAAGCAAAAGTATCTTGACAACGTCCAAGAATTGAAGGAAGCACCCTTTTTTACTCCAAAATTTGAAAAAAAATCCAAATTAGCTCCAAATCTAGTGATTTTTGATGTGTTGGAAATTTAACTTCGAGATTCTCCTGTTCCAAAATTTTCGTGGCCATCTTGTACTTGAGCTGCGAGAAATGCTTCTTCAAAGTTGGATCATTGGGCCTGCCATTGCAGCCCACCCCCCTTCACTCAAAAAGTCGTTAAAAATTCAAAACCTCTTCAAATTTAATGAAATTTATTTCAATAGAAGCTCAGTGTGAAGGTGCTTGTATTTTCAAAATTTTAAAATAATTCCTTTAGGTAGCACGAAGAAATGCCTTTTCAAAATTGGGTTATTGAAACTACTAAGGTAGCCACCCTTCGCACTCAAAAATTTACCAAAACTCTGGTTCAGCTCCAAATTGAGCAAGCCTTAGCTCGTTGTAAAGATAATAACAAGGGCTATGTGATGAAAAATATTTACTTACAAATCATAAAAAACCATAGATTGATTGAGGGAAATCCGAGGCCCCTCAAACGCTTTTGACTGTGGAAATGGTTGGTGACTACTAATTGCAAAGAGGCGCCTTTTAAACCACAACAAGCAACACCCATGATACAAATCCAATGCTCATATTTTCCTAAAGTTCACAATGAGATCTAAGATCAAGAAAGAAGCAAAAAAATAAGATTAAGATTAAGGTTGAGACTACACTTTGGCATGGCTTCGCCCTCATCAAAAGAAAAGAGAGAGAGAGGCTTAGAAAACCAAACCATTCTTATACAATTGAATGGTGGCTTGTGGAAGTGTGGCCACATCTCCGCCCTTGATCTCTAAGATCCCTAATGTAGATCTATGGCCTTCCTTTTTCTAAGAACTAATTTCGTGACCAAGACTGATGGCTCTTGTAAGTGGAAAAAAAACACTTTTTGATAAATCTAATTTAACCACTGTGTTTAAAACACCTTTTTATGCTAAGATGGACTACTCACATGTATCAATCTTTACGTCATTGCAACTTTTATGAAGGTTTTTTTACTTATAAGGATTTACGTAATACTTGTAAAATTCTTCAAAAAATGAGAATTTTATTTCTCTACTTGTACTTTCAAGGAAAGCATGTTGATCTTGTTTTCTTCACTCTACATGGTACATTTGATGCCTCCATTGCATTTGAAGGGCTTCCATAAATTAGAATAAACACTTTGTTGCTTGGATTTGTTGAATTTGGAAAAAATCTTCAAACCTATGATAATTAAACTTCACTAAATTTTTTTTTTTTCTTTTTTTGACATCAAGACTACTTCCTTTGTAATTCCTCTACTATTAGCTAACTAGAAATAAATATATTCTTTATAGTTTTTTCTTACTAAACTCTATCCTAGATTGCATGTCTACTACTAGCAATCTATTTTCTATTTTTTTCCTAAAATTTTAATATTAATTCATAAAATTTGTATTTTAAGCACAATAAGTATATTTTTTATACTAAATATCAAAGTGAGTCAATTCAATGGCTCATAGAAGTTAGTCTTGAGTGATTTGAATTTATAATAGCTTTATAATAACTTTGCAAAGTTAAGATTTTTAATATGATATTGATTTTTATGAAATAAAAAGATTCATATTTTGGAGCATGTCATTAGATTTGTAGTAAATCTATAGTTGAAAATATTTGAAATTATAATCATAGTTTTTTATATGTTGGAAGTTTAAGATTCATTAAATGATTAAATTTAAAGTTATTGAAATTCAACTTGGTTGGAATCTTAAAAATTGGAGTTTAGAAGATCAATAAGGATTTTTAAGATTTACAATAATTTTCTAATTGGATTAAAATAATAATAATAATCATCCAAAAAACTTAATTTGCTACAATTTTGTAAGTTTTGAGAGCAATTCTATGGTATAATAAGAGATATTGAGGCTAAGAGATTGGCATCAAGATTGAAGAGAGAGGTTAGCCAACATTTAAATAGATTAAAAACTTTATCTTCTTTTTGATGTATTTAATGTTTTTTAAATCTTTTGTACTTGTTTTCGACTAAACAATTAAGAATCCTAAAAATTTTGAGACATAATTGATAATTTAATCATTAATTATTAAGGATTTATTTTACTATAAGATTTGATTAGAATTTGGTTAAAATTAAGACTTAAGATTTGATTTGATTTTAGGATTTAATTAGGATTTAGTTAGATTATAAATAATATCTGGTAAAGATTTTATTAGGATTTTATTAGAAATTACTTTAAATTCTATTAAGATTTTATTAGACATTGATTAAGATTTTATTAAACTCTAATCAAATCTTAATAAATGTCTAATAACATCTTAATCAATGTCTAATAAAATCTTAATCAATAATCTAATAAAATCTTAATCAATAATCTAATAAAATCTTAATCAATATTCTAATCAAATCTTAATCTATACATTTTCTAAAAATCTTCCTAAGAAGATATCAATAGTTTAATTTTTAATTTTTAATTAATTCTACTTATCTAAGTAAATACAGATATCTATAACAACTCCTATTTAAATTCTAATTGTCACTTTAATAACTTTTCTTAAAGCTTTGTTGCCATTTGTCTATTTACAATTTATCAAAATGATATTTTAAATCGAAGGTATTTTAAATAAGGCTTTGATTATCCTTAACAAATAGAGCAATAATGGACTTAGAATTGTACTAAATAGATATGATGTAAGCCTTCTTTAATGGAAAATCACAAAAAGACATTTACATAGATCAACTTAAAGAAATGGAATAACAAGGCAAAAAGTAACTTGCATGATTTTTAAAGAAACCTTTACAAAGACTAGCATTCTTTAACAGCATGGTATGAATGCAATCATATATTTCTTCTAAAAGAAGGATTTGCAAAGAATAAAACTATTCATTTTTTGTAAGCAATGTAATCAAAGGAGTGTTTATTAATTGTAATTCTTTATATTGATTTTATCATCTTAGCAAACACTATTGAAAAGATGGAATAAACAAAGCCAAAATTAAAAGAAGAGTATGAAATAAATTACTTAAGAAAATTGCTTAATTATCTTGAAGTTGTTTTCATACAAAATTGTACCAAATATACTATTACAATGAACTAAAGCAATTACATTAAAAAAATATTGAAACACTTCAATATATAAGAATGCAAGCCTATTAGTACCCCACGTAAAAGCCACCTTGAAGATTGATGAAGCTATGTGAAAAAGAATTTGCAAAAGTAGTTTTTAAAAAATCTATACATTGTTTTTTATTAGTTCATACATATCTAGATGTACAACAATTTCGTCAATTTTATTTTTGTATTTCTATTTAATTCAAGATTTTATATTTTTCAAGTACTTAAAACTTCTAATAATCATTTTCATGCTTATTTATTTTTCAAATATATTTTTGATTTTGATTATGATTTTTTAAAAATACATATAAATAAATTTATATTTTTATTTGTCTTTTAAATATTTTATATAAATTTATGCTTGTATCATAATTTAAGTTGAATTGTCTTAATTTTGCGTATTAATTGGATTATCTTAATATAATAGATTATATTGCATAACAATATTGTTCTAATTTAACGTGTGCTACTTTATCTAAGAATGTTTTCTTGTTACTTTTTAGACAGTAAATTAATACATGCAAGTATTTTATTTTTAAGTTCCAACAAGGGTGCCCACTACTTCGCACCTGTAAAAAACATATGTAAGTTCTCGTGAGGTTGCAATGTTTTAGAACATATCGGAAGGCTGCAGGCATCGACCTCACTCAAGAACGGACTTCGCATGCCAACCATCTTCAGAGCAGGTAAAAGTTCACAAAGGATTGCAAAAACGTCCGAGGATTAGAACTTAGGATTTCACATTATTTATATAGACAGATAATGGAAATACAGTAATAATTTCTTTGCTTGCTTCTTGTTACACTCCGTTCTAGTTGTTGATGGGAAAAGAACATAACAAAATAAGAAAATCATATAAAAAAAGACACAAAAAGTAGTTAGTCATGTTGATAACTATTAAAGTGCATAGGAGATTCTCACAACGGAAAGAAATGTTTTGCCACTACTGGAGTTTCTTACAATACGAGGGTCCAAGATAAGCTCTGTTTAACAATTACTCAAGTATTAGCTCCGTTTAACAGCTAATGTACTACTTACAGCCAGATCCTATCAACTAGTAACCGTCCTGGTAAGCACAAAATCAAACATCTTAGAGGTCGTCGAGACACCGCGCTTCAGGGGGAATGAGTAGTACTGCTTAGTTTGTGTTGCAATGAAATACACAAGGTCCGAAATTCTACATTCATATACCAGTAGGCGGATACTGAGCAGGCCGAAGAAAATCTCCAGCAGTTGCAATTGCAGATACAAGAACTGAAGTGCCTAGCATTTTTGTAACATTCCCAGTTCGAGCTGACACAAAAGCTCCAGTTATAGCCCCCGATATACTTGCATTCACCTGCCATCATAAAACACAAACTTAATACTAGTAGCTACATGAATGATCAGATGTTTCGCAAATTGGTCTAGAATGAAGCAGATAAAAAAAATTGACAGCATGCATCATTGAAATAGTTTCGCTCATGATCATTTAACCTCTTTGGATGGAACTGATCTATGTTATATGTGAGCTTGTGAATCACTAATATTCTCAAACATCTAACCTGGTGCAAAACTCTCCCTCTATATGTTAACTACAATACCAAGAGAAACAGAAACCTACCCAATCTTTTTTATTTCTAACGGATTCAACTCCACAGTTGAGTCCCAAATATGCACCTGCAAAACAACCTTGACCATCCACCCTGACCATTATCAGGTTGTAGTTGAAATATTTTCATTGAAAATACAATAAGAGACAGTTTAAGTCATATGAAACAGAGAAAACAATTAAAGCATATGTCTAAACAAGGAGACATTATAATTAAAAGACTTACCCCATCCCAGACCATTCCTCGTTATCGACTTCGCCTGTGGAAAAAGAAGGCCATCAACTATCGGCAACAGCCTGTTTACAACTGAAAATCACACCTACATTCATGAGACACACCTAATAGGATACCTAAGTTCTACATGCACGATGTCCAGAAAGCTGCTCACATGCCCTAATATTCAGTGAAATACATACAATCAAAGAGAAAAATTCAACGTCCTTTGAGGTCGACCTCCACTTTTAGAAAGTGCATGTTCGTCAATGACTCCACCAGAATGCAAAAGAATATTTTGAGATCAAATGGTCCACTCACCACGTACAAAGCCCGCGATGCTCCGAGATGACCTGAGCCAGATCATAATCACACATTCCTTGTGAATCACTCATAATTACGAGAGAAGTTCAAAAACTATCACAACAAAAACGATCCAATAAAATGAAAGATACTGAAATAATTTGTAAACTTTGACAGGTCGACAATGCACCTTCTTTAACAGCATCATAGGATCCCATAAACATTCCCCAAGCAACTCCTGCCTGCAATGTGCACGCTGAACTATCAGTACTTGAACCCATAAGTGTTGGAAAGCGTCTACGTATCCTACCTATCTAGTTATGCAAACACATTGTACGTTCAGCAAAAAATACCACTTCAGAAGCATGACACATGGATTGTAAACATGCGGGTCAAAGGTAGACAATTGGCATCGTCAACAGACATTAAAAGTTCTACCGAATTGATGAGAGAAATTTGGTCCACAGTACTAGGCCAATGCATGCGTCACTCAATATGAACAAAAAACATATCCACAGAGGAGATCCAAAAAAGATCGTATCAAAGGCATCTACATTCCCCATTTACATCTCCGTCTGTTCTTAACACTTGTGCTGAGTTCTTACATCAGGCTCAAAGCATCAAACATCAGCTATTGAAGTGAAGAGTTACCTTTAGAGGAGGGGACAAAGGACTGTTCAGAATGCAGTAACAATCTGAGACACCCCACAACTAAGCCGATTGAAGATCGGTGACCAGGCACACAAACCGATCCAACGACGAACAAGCCTTGGTCTCTGTTCCCACTCCGAGATGTAGAAATTTGGAAAGTGAAACTATCCTATATAATCATCACATCTAAAACCTGAACCAGTTTCAAAAGTACAAAGATGTTCTACCAGTCATCAATCTGGGATCGATTACCATCCTTACTAATCTAAACTCAAACAAGCCTCAGGCCCTCTTCACGAAGTGCTGACCTCTCCAGTAATACTGTGAATGCTCGCTCAATTGAGCATATGAACAAGCATACAATAGATCAGTGCACAACAGCCTAAACCTATGACTAATGATCCTCAAAGTGCATAAGAGAATAAGAGGACGAAAACAAACCCTGAACTCAACTGTTCGACGCAAACCCTAATCTGTCTCACTAAAACCAATCACACCTTGTTACTTCCCTCACTCGCAGGAAAGCAGAAAAAGAGGGGTTAATATGACATGTAATAAGGCCTTTCCTAACGCCAAGAACCGGCAACCAAGCTCAAACTCACAACTACCCTCTCCTCACCTGAAACAATATTCCTACATCTAAAGCTATCCTGAAAGCTAAGCAATACTTGTGAAATGCCCAAGAGATAGGAATAGAGGAACAGAGTCACAATTACTTAGCGAGTGCAGGGATCGCAGAGATACGTACTAAAGAGGTGATCACATAAGAATAGAAGAATGTACCATGCCGATGCGAACAAAGCCATCAACAGCGCGGGAGACGCACGGCGGGCCTGCTTCGTAGATGTCGCGAGCGTCCATGTGGCCAGCCACAGATGACATAAAAGCTACACAAGATAGGATAGAACACTTTACAATTCCTGAATTCCAATCAATCAGATTTGTACGCCACGAACACTCGCACGACAGTAAAAAATCTACAACCGCACTAACATGGAATAGAATAGAACAACGTCAGGAGTAGCGCATTTGGAAGACTTGAAAAAGCTCCAGAACTAAGATCATTGTTCACATAATGATGCGCATAAAACCCCAGTTAACCCTTGTCATCATGAGCTCTAGAAGATCATAGGTATTCGCCGGGAAGCCAGAATAGATGGGAGAGAACTTGGGATCGAATTGTCACGAGCAGCCAGAGTAAGGATCGCGTTCTCTGGAGGATTAGAAGCTATCGTCCTCCATCTCTGGCGTGGACCATCCGCATCTCAGTGCGTCAGAGAACAACTTGACGCTCAGTGGAACAGACCCACAGCCGGGTGGGGGGCAGGGGGGGTTTCAGGGCCAGGGGGACAGCTCGAGGACTTAATAATGCTGGATGAATTAACAAACGAATGAAAGAGGACGTCCATCTCGATCGCCAGTTCCACCAAAGCTTGAGATCCCGTGGCATATGGGCAGGCCCCCTTATATTCGGAATTTGCCGAAAACATTTAAATCAAGTTATTTTCGGAAATGTGACTATATTTTTGGAATTTACAAAATAAGAGCGATTGCTCTATATTCAAATTATAAGAAGCTTTTTCAAACTATTTTGCATGCAAAATGCTTTTTAGAAAGAAATTTGTTAGAACAATTTAAAATACATATTTCTTATATTCCAAAATAAAGAAAATTAATTGAATTTTTCAGTATTTAAAAATTAGAAAAAATTCTATAACATAAATACATTAAAAAGAAAAACTAATTACTAACTATTGCCTAAGCTTATTACTTAAATTCTTAAAAACTTATATAAATAAGCCTACTACTGCTTTGTATGAAAGACTTTGCATTTGACTTTCATTTTGTGTAAACTTCCCATCTATGAGTTAAAGCAACTTTAAGTTGGCTTCAAGAAGTATTGCAATTGATTTGCAGTGCCTTATATTGAATTGTTTCAATACCACCTCAATGCATTTATTTTGGCTCATTATAATGTTGTAATTAATATATTTTTTTACAAATTCTATACCAAAAAAATAGTACAACTCTTCCAAATCACTCATCTTACATTCATTAATTAATATGGCCTTTATTGACAAAAAATAACTTTGAAGTCACAATACATAATATAAATAAGATTACATACAAATGGAGTATGGAGTAAGATGACTTTCACTTCTAAAATCTATTATTTATAGGTAGTGATTGTTGCTCTTAACAACTATTTCCATCCTTTGACTTTTACATCTATTTAAGAATATATCAAAATTATCTTTTCATATCTTATTAATTATGAAGATCACCTTTGGCGTATCTTTTATGCTCTTAGGATCTTTTTGCCAATTCATTTACTTCAAGGATATCCTATAGTATATACTTTATACTCTTACTTAATCTTTGAATATTTTCTAGTTGATTTTTTATCTTCTTAATTAGACTCTTAGCTCTTAACCTCATCTCTTATTCATAGGATATTTTTTCACATATCAAAAATCCATCCTTTGATTATAATAACTTATTTAAGATAATATCTTCTACAAGATAATTTAATCTATTTTTATTTTTATTTTTATTTATTTATTTTAACACTTTCACTTTGCTATTAATTAAAGATTTTTAATCTTAATACTTTTGTGAATATGTGATGTCTATCTTTTACAAGTGCATTTGTTAACAAATCAAGAAGAATTTCTTCAATTGTACAATATTTCATATCAATTAATCCTATTTTAATCCTCTTTCTTATAAAGTGATGTTGAATGTCAATGTGCTTGATTCTTTAATAATGCTTTGGATTTTTTTAAATAGAAGATATCTTTGATTGTTATACTTCATTGGAATTGCTTCCATTTTCATTATTTGTGAGAGACATACAACTGAAGAAGGTCCTAGAAGGTTCTAGAAGATTTCAAAAGATTCTAGAAGGTACCAGTAGGTTTTAAGAAGGCTCTTGAAGGTTCTAGGAGGTTCCAATAGATTCTAAGAAAGTTCTAGAATGTCATAGGAGGTCCTAGAAGGTTCTAAGAAGCTTTAGATAATTTAGGAAGTTGCTAAAGAAAGATCTTAGGCTTACTTTGTTCTCAAGCCTCATAGAAACTTCTCAAGAAGCTTCTTAGGACTTAGTATATATAGGAGTCAATGGTGAGGGGATCCTTAGTCTCGACAACTCACTTCTTATGGTCTAACTAGGTTTTTTTTGCCTTGTATCTAGTTATTATTCTAATGTCGAGCTAACTCTATTTCTTAGTTTCAAATCCTTGTCTTGTATATGGTCCCTAATAGTTTATCTAGACTCACATAAAACAATATTAGGAAGTTGGTCTTTCTTGACAAAGAGTAGATTGTCCCTCTTTTTGAAAGTGCTATAGCATTCTAGAGATTGCGGATTACCTTCTCTTAGACTAATATTGTTCTTTTTTTAATATTCTTTTGGTTTCTTTTCTTTATATCATAGATTTTCTTTTTCTTTTTCTTTTTCTTTTTCTTTTCTTTTCTTTTAAAGGTGTATATTTTTCTAATTTTCTATGGCAAAAGGTAAAAAAATCAATATAACAAAATCAAAAGAGATCAAGTTAGATTCTATTATTAATACTCTTGAAGTATTGAAGATTAAGACATAGACTTTATTGAAGCAGAATGAAGAACTATATACGACCATACATAATGGTCAAGGACCTGGAGTGCCTCAACCATGACATCAAATTGTAATAGATGTTTTAAATTCTTAAACGACTATGTCTACTTCAAACATGGCAGATGCATCCACTCAAAGCAATGATTTGACAATAATAACAACAAAAAAACCAAAGATCAATCTTCCAAAAAAATTCATTGGTATCCACTCAAAATTTTGTAGCTTTGTAAACTAAGTATGACTAATCACCTTACTTCAATGTCAACAATATTCCATTGAAGTATCTTGTGTTGGTTTGGTTGGAACCTTGTTCTCGGGTCAAGCTTTATCTTAGTTTGCTCCATTATTTGAAAAAAATTCTCTTATATTACACAATTTTGAAGAATTTTTGGCAGCATTTGCAGAAGTATTTAGTGAATATGATAAGATTCATTAATCAAAAACTAAAATTCAAAGCCTTTGAGAATAACGTACTTTGCATCAATATATGCCTCAGATTTTTGACAATTAGCATGTGATATAAATTGGAGAGAAGACGCATTGATGAGCCAATTTCATTGGAGATTAAAAAACAATGTCAAGGACTTATTATTATATATGCCAGATCCTCTAACACTCAATGAAGCCATTAGTCAAGCTATGAAGTGTGATAACCATTTATTTCAATAATGACAAGCTAAATGTTCTTCAATTACATCACATATATACACCAACTATTTTGCAGCTTCTTCACCATCCAATTCTAATAAGCAGTTGGAAGCAAAAGATATGCAAATTGATGCAATTTGCTTCAAACTTCTTTTTAAGTAAGATAAAAAGCACCAAAGGGAACTTAGCCTAAGCTTATACTGTAAAAAACCTGGCCATAAGATTAATGATTGTTCAAAGAAATGTCAGTGTACATATCAAATGAGGAGTATGACTACATCATCAAAAGCATTGTAAAAAAATAAGGATGTCCATCTATAATAAGGACTGTGTGGCTAGATTCTTTATTATCACAAATCAAAAAAGATCATATACTCTCTACCAATCCTTCTCGTCATTTTATTATATTTATATAATAAGGAGTCACAAAACTAGATTGTCATACATTACTTGACTCAAGAGCCTCTGCATGTTTTATTAACAAAGAATTTTCTAGATCATACAAAATCTGTACGATCAAAAAATACAAAGGCATATACATAGATGTAATAGATGGTCAATCTTTATCCTCTAGAGACATCACTCATGAAATGATTTGATTTGAAATAACCTTTGACATCTATAGCAGCCAAGTAGTATTCAATGTCATTAGCTCACCATCAAGTCCAATCATTTTAGGATTCTCATGGCTTGAAAAATACAATCCACAACTAGATTAGATATCACAAAAGTTAGAATTTCTTCTAATAGATCATAGAACTCACAGATCTATGAAAAAGCTTCTAACACCCAACAAGCCAAAATTTAAACAACATTTATTTTTTGAAGCTAAAACATTTATGAGGGCAACCAAACAAGGTACTATGTTTGCTATCTATGAATATATATAATCAAAACCTGTGGTTGCTACAACAACAATTCTATGGGCGTGTAAAGATTTTATAGATATATTTGAAAAGAAAAATGTGAATATCTTGCCTAAGCATCGTCCTCACGATTGTGCAATTAACCTTCAAAAAGGTCTTCAACCACCATTTGGACCCATCTATAATTTATACCAGAATGAGCTTGTAACTTTAAAAGAATATATTGAAGAAAATCTGGCTAAGAATTTTATTTGACATTCCAAGTCACTAGCTAGTACTTCAATATTATTTGTGAAGAAGAAAGATGGATCCTTATAAATGTGTGTCAATTATTGTGGTCTTAATAAAATGACAATAAAGAATCAATATCCATTGCCATTGATATCAGGACTTCTTGATCAACTTAGCCAAAGAAAGATCTTTACAAAGATTAATCTATGAGCCGCTGTCGTAATACGTGAAGTCTGGCTTGAGAATGCTTCGGGCACCTGGCTGTGGAAAGAAGAATGGAAATTATAATAACAAAATCCTAATTCTAATAGAATATTAATAATACTCTAATTAGACTATAATAATTCTAAGCAAGCTTAATCAAATTCAAAAAAACCTCAAAGAAATTTCAAAAAAATAATAGGAATTTTTAAAGA